GCCCCCACAGATGCCCATGCCAGTGCACGAGCCGCTGTCCCCCCAGCAGCTGCAGCAGCAGCAGGACATGTACAACAAGAAGATCCCCTCCTTGTTTGAGATTGTGGTACGGCCCACAGGACAGTTGGCTGAGAAGCTGGGTGTGAGGTGAGTGCCGGGACCTGTCACTGTGAGCCTGGTCAGGGCAGCTTGCTGCCTCCAAAAACTGTTGGAGGCCTGGTCTAGAGCAGTGGTCACCAACCTTTCAGACCTCACAGACCACCAGTGGTCCACGGCTGCTGCTCCAAAGGGTTCCTTAAACCAGCGGTCACCAACCTTTCGGACCTCCCGGACCACCAGTGGTCCACGGACCACCGGTTGGCGACCCTGGTCTAGAGCCATCCACTGCGCACCATGTCGAGGCCTCCACATCTCCTCAGGGGTGCGACCCCCCCCACCCCTTCTCTGCAGCCCCTCTCATAGACACCATTTCCTCCTTCTAGGTTCCCTGGACCTGGAGGACCCCCCGGGCCAATGGGCCCTGGGCCCAATATGGGACCCCCGGGGCCAATGGGGGGCCCAATGCATCCCACCAACCTTTCGGACCTCCCCCCGGACATGCATCCTGACATGCACCCGGACATGCACCCCGACATGCCGATGGGCCCTGGCATGAACCCTGGCCCGCCCATGGGACCTGGTGGCCCCCCAATGATGCCTTATGGCCCTGGAGACTCCCCACATTCTGGAATGATGCCCCCCATCCCACCAGCCCAGAACTTCTATGAAAACTTTTACCAGCAGCAGGAAGGCATGGAGATGGAGCCGGGACTCATGGGGGACGCAGGTAGGCGGGGCCTGTGGGCCCGGTGGGGTTGCTGGGCTTACACAGTGGAACATAGTCAGGAAAATTCGATCTCTCTTCTCCCAGCCTTTGGAAGCATGAATCCAACTCCATCTCTGTCCCATGAGTGGTTGAATGTTTTTCGTGAGAGTCACTATCCTGTTGAGGCTGAAAGGAATATTATGGTTATTAGCACTGTAATTTAGCCTCTCGGACATTTTGCTTGGTGCTCCTGGAATCAGGCGCACGGGAACATCGAGGGGCAGGTGTGGGAGGGGTGGGGCTAACGGCTGAAGTGGCCTCACCAGCGTCAGCCTCGTGCTTCTGCTTGTTCTGTCACTGCGTCTGACCGTCCTCCTTCCTTCTCTCCTTCCTTCCTATTAAAATAATAACAGATTGGCAACGACAGCCGCAAGGCCATCAGGGGTAGTGTGCAGCCTTGAGGAAGGGGTGTGCTCACTGCGGCCTATGCGGCTGCTCCAGTCCTGGGGTCAGAGCCAGCGAAACAGCCCCTGTCCTGGCCTTAGCTTCATTGGAGTGGAGGGAACCAGGCAGGACATGTGTACATAAGTACACAAGCTCGTTCCGGCATTGATCGTGGCTAGAAGTAACGGTGCTGGGGGAGAATGGGGATGGGGGGTGGGCCAGGAGGGTCTGGACACGGTGAGGTCAGTGGGCAGAGGCCTCTCTGAGGAGTAACTGGGAGTGAGCTGGGACAGGAAGGGGAGGCGGCAGCTACGGGGCGCACAGCCCACGCGGGAGGACAGCCAGGGCAGAGGCCCCAGCCGGTCAGCTTGCTTGAGAAAAGCAAAAGCATCGAGTGCTTTGGAAAGGGAGGACAAGGGAGAGGAGTCCCAGCGCAGTAGGAACCTGTCACCCTGGTGAGGTGACCTCGTTGGAAGAGTGACAGGGACCAGCAGAGGAGTGAGAGGGCAGTGGGTGGTAGGGCGGGCGTGGGATCCTCCTGGGCAGAGGCGAGCCAGGCGGCAGCTGGAGGTAGCAGGGAGCAGCAGGGCTTGGCTTCTCAGTTTGGAGACGATGGATGGGCCAGCGTGACCCCTCATATATGCATTACAAGATGGACAGGCGTGGATGGGGCGCTGGCCGGGGGGCAGCCTCCATGGGTGCTGACGCCACCCTGACCAGGAAGCCCTGCTGGAGAGCTGGGGTGGGTGGGGCAGCACTAAGGATGAGATGCCCATTTGACAGCCACGCCTCGGACACGTTGAGGCGGATCAGACAGGCAGGCTGGAGGTCAATGTGAGTGTCATTGGTGTCCAGATGGTGTTCGAAGCGGCGAGAGCAGGTGTTTGGGGTGAGGAGCAGGGGCTTTAGAAAGATGTGACAGGTTCTCAAGTGAGAAAAACAGGTTGCGTGAGAGGTGATGTTCCCACAGCCCGTCCCACCTGTAAACATGTATATAAACTGCAGGGCCAGAGGTCGGGGGTGGGAGAAAAGCACGTCTGTCAAGCTGTGAACAGCCCAGAGAGGAACTGGCTTAAATCCCCACGTCAGGAAGTCCTGCAGAGTGTGCTGCGCAGTGGCTTCGGGCACGGCAGGGCCTCCAGGGACATTGCGCTCCACGGCCTTCCGTTAGAGCGTTGGTGAGGTGCCCTGGGAACTTAGCTCTTGTTTGTATCCATTAGCCTCTGGTGACATTGATTTGTCATAGAGCCTATCAACAACGTTAAGTGAGTCCTTACTGTATTCACAGGTGCACAACCATCTTTTTAAAAATATATATTTTTTATGAATTTTAGAGAGGAAGGAGGAGGGAGAGAGAGAAACATCAATGATGAGAGAGAATCATTGCTCGGCTGCTTCCTGCACACCCCCTTCTGGGGATTGAGCCTGAAACCCAGGCATGTGCCCTGACCAGGTATTGAACCGTGACTTCCTGGTTCGTCTGTTGACCTGAGCCTCGCCGGCCGGGCAGTGAGTCACTCTTGGTGAAAATTCCAAGCAGCGGGGACTGGGACTGCGCACCCCGAGGCAAGCAAATTCACATGTGACAAAGTTCACTGGCCAGAACAAGGTGGCCTTTTGCTTTCTGCACATACATGAAATTATTCTGTATATAAAATTAAATTACAGCTTCACTGTCTTTTACTGGCCCCACTTCAGTTGCTCACTAGCCCCATGAGGACAGTGGTGGGTGTACGGCACGTTCATCATTGTACAACATTCGTGGGCAGCGCTCACTGGACATTCTCTGAGAGAATCACACACACACACACACACACACACACACACACACACACACACACAGCCTCCAGGTGTATCGTCCCCCAGCCCACCATGCTGCGCCCCCTCCTTAAATGCAGCAGCTCATCCATGTTCATGGAGTGCAGGAAGCAGGAAGAGGAAGCAGCAGGAGCTTCTGGGTTGACATGTGTCCATAGCAACATATTGTTTTGTTTTTTGTTGAGAGTATTATAGATGTCCCCCATTTCCCCCCACCTTTGTCCCCCTCCACCCAGCCCCTGTCCCAGCCCAAGGCCTTCACCCCACTATTGTCTGTGTCCATGGGCTGTGCATATGAGTGTATATGTTCTTTGGTTAATCTCTTCTGTAACCCCTTCCCACTTCCTTCTGAGATCCGTCAGTCTGTCCCATGCTTCCTGTCTCTGGACCTATTTTGTTCGTCAGTTTATTTTGTTCATTCGATTCCACGCATAAGTGAGGTCATGTGACGTTTGTCTTTCTCTGACAGGCTTACTTCACTCAGCATCGTTTGGTGTATTTCCCTTCTTTTCTTTACGAGCCTCGTTCCCAGTTGTTAAGCTCATGTTTTGACCTCCCAATGTGATCGTTTTCTTTATTGATTATTACAAACAAACCCTAAAACTAGAGCTCGTGGCAAATAAACACGCAGGTCAGAGCGTGTGGAGTGAAAAGTGAAGAGACCTCTTAGCCCGTCTCTGGAATCTCATTTCCAAGAGACTGTTTCCTGTCTGTCTTTCTGAGCCTTTTCTTTGCATTTTGCAAACATCCGTATGACGTTCCGTCCTGTTTTCACGTCATGAGCGTTTGCCATGTCACCAAACCTCACTGTGAACCCCGTGGTCACCCTGGCTGCATGCTAGGTTGGCTGCTCCGGTCCTCGCTGTGGGCTTTCTGTGGGGACGTCCTGGGACGGTAGGAAGGGACGGGCTGCACATCTCACCCATCGCCATCGCCATCAGGGGAGGTCTCAGTTGAGGGCATGGGTGGGTTGGAGTTGCCATCTCAAGGCCCTTCCCGACACGAACCCTCGGTTCTTCCCTGCCACAGAGGACTACGGGCACTACGAAGAGCTGCCGGGGGAGCCTGGGGAGCACCTCTTCCCCGAGCACCCTCTGGAGCCCGACAGCTTCTCTGAGGGAGGGCCCGCAGGCCGGCCGAAGCCGGGCGCCGGTGTCCCCGACTTCCTGCCCTCAGCCCAGAGGGCCCTGTACCTGAGGATCCAGCAGAAGCAGCAGGAGGAGGAGGAGAGAGCGAGGAGGCTGGCTGAGAGCAGCAAGCAGGACCGGGAGAATGAGGAAGGCATGTGTCCTCCCCAGGGGCAGGGCTTTCCCTGAGGGCGCAGGCCCCGGGCACCGTGCAGGGGAAAGACCGGGAACACCTAGATGGGGTTTTGCACTGAAAGGGAGTCTGTGGCCAGGGAGGACCCTGCCTCAGGCTGGGAACCAGGCTTGGGCTGATGAATGTCCCTCAGGAAATCGGAAGTCAAGGCTGCCCTCTGTGCCTTGGGGGTCGGGAGAGACCTGATCCCATCAAGAAGGGAGGCGGTCTGGTCCCTAGAGGAGACAGTAGCCGGCTCGATTTACCCCCTGCACCCTTACCGAGGAGGCTGTAGAAAGATGTTCACACACCCCCCTTGCCCCTTGTTCTCAGGAAGCCAGCAGATGAGAGCTGGCCGACATAACCAGTAATGATCAGTCACACACAGCTGCCAAGTTACATGGGGCTGTGCAGTGAGCTGGTGGCACCCCCAGGGTGAAATGGGGAGGACAAATTGTGTTTAGGTGGCCATGACAGGAGCCCAGGAGCAAGTGGGGACCGTGGAGTGAGGGGGCAGCGCCCTCCGCTGGTGGCTCCAGTTTTATCTGCTTAGGAGGTTGGACTTGGGCTAGTTTCCATGTCTGCCCACCTGGCCTCGCCTCTTAGCCTGTGGCTGCCCTTCCCTGGGATGTGGTAATCTTGGGGGCCTAGGGGCAAGTGTCTGTGAGCCCCAGGCATAGTGGGAGCTGAGTCAGTGGGGCCTGAGCCTGCCCAGGGGTGACGAGGTGGCGGCACCCTAGGCTTGGAGCCTGAGCTCAATCTGAGCTCTGCCCCCATCTCAGGACCCAGTTCACACCTCCCTTTTCTCATCTGTCAAATGGGCCAATAACACTGCTTCCCGGGTGTTTGTGAGAATTAATAAGACAAGGCGTTTAGCTCAGTGCCCGCACACGAGGAAGGGTGCAGAAATGTCAGCCAGGGCCTCCAGGGTCAGCACTTCACTGGCCTGAGCTCACGGGCTGTTCGTGGCAGGGGACGGGGTTCTTCAGGGAGGAGAGGTGAGGTTCTGAGAGGTAAGAGGCAGAGGTGTTCACCCAGCGGGCTGCCAGGGGTCCGAGAGGGTGGATGTGGTGGCCACTCACTCCCTCCCTGCTCCTCTGCTCTTTCTCAGGTGACACTGGAAACTGGTACTCAAGTGACGAGGACGACGGTGGGAGCAGCGTCACCTCCATCCTTAAGACCCTGAGGCAGCAGACGTCCAACCGACCCCAGGCTTCTGTCGGGGAGCTGAGCAGCAGTGGGCTGGGGGATCCCCGCCTCCAGAAGGGACACCCCACCGGAGGCCGGCTGGCTGACCCCCGCCTCAGC